CGGCCAATGCAACTTACAAACTGTTTTTTCTATGTCGTGCTCTCAAACTATCCACTCCTTCTGTCCGCCTTTTAGCGTACAAATCAATTGTTTTACCAATATTAGATTACGCCACTATTATATGAGATCCTTTTACTAAGACTAACATTAACAAATTAGAAAAAGTGCAAAAAAGAGCAGTTCGTTTTGTCTACAATAATTTTTCGAGGCCTTCCGTTACTGACCTATTAAGCAGAGCTCAACTTTCACCTTTATCATAAAGATACCGTAACTTAAGGCTTAAGTTTCTGTACCAACTAATTAACGGCCAATATCAAGTAGACATAGCCGATATTTTTTCTTTTTCTTCTGGCTACTCTACCAGGCAGAGACATGACCTCACCATAACCCCCTTTCCCACATACAATAATTGCTTTAAGTATTCATTTTTTCCTCGCACCATAGTCGAGTGGAACAAACTAACTAATGCAATTGTTTCAGCACCCTCATTGGCATTGTTTTCCTCGAAATTAGAAAGTGCACTAACCAGTTGAATTGTTGAATCGTATTACATACCACTGTACATGCTTGTATATTTGTAGTCTTTTATTTTTTATTGTATGATATTGCCAGTTGAAGTTTGTATTTGCCCTATAGACATTGTATAACCTGTATATATTATATGACATTGTACTTGCCATTTGTTCATGACTAACTTCATATACCACCCTGCTAAAATCACCAAAGGTGATTGCAGTATCTGTAAATAAATAAATAAATAAATAACAGTGTACGCGGATGGGTTGGTTACAAAAATAGCGGCGTTGTGTTGGGTGACTCGCACGGTCGCGAAAGATACTAGCAACTCTCCCACTACAAGCATGGTCGGATGGCGAAACGAGTGCACTTGTGTCGGAGAGATTGGCGCAGTAAACCAACACAGCCGTCGTCGAGGTTGAAGGCACTGTTGTACCATCTTTCATGAGAATGTTGCTCAATGTCGAGAGACTGTCTGCTGGCGTCAAATGCGAGGAGGGTGAGAGTTCTATTTCGGCGGAGGTACAATGAATGCCGGCGTCATTGCGGGAGAGCAAATCCCATCCAAGGATGGCATCATGAGAACATGCAGGAATGATGATGAATTGGGCGACGTACAGAACGTCCTGCATAACTACGCGATCTGTGCACCCTGCTGTAGGATGAATGCGATGCGAAGTAGCGGTACGGAGGGCCAACCTAGAAATTGGCATCGTCGCTTTTTGAAGTAAGCCGCAAAATTTTTCTTTCATAACTGATACGGCAGCTCCAGTGTCAATAGAAGCCGATTCACAAACACCGTCCACAAGCACGTCAATGACATTGAAGGGGCTGTTGTAAGGGTTTTCACATTGCAATAGCATCGCAGTCCTTACCTCAGGGACTGCGACGACTAGTTTTTCCGCTCATGAGCTGCCGAACTTGGCCGCATGGTGGACAGAGAACAACGTCATGGAGAAGGCGACCTTCGAGGAGATGGAGCTTGGCGAGACGGTGGTGGCATAGACGGTGGTTTATCGTGATAGGGATGGCCGAGCTGGCCAGCAACACGCGAACAGGTGGGAGCTGGCTGTTCGCGAGGGCAATGACTTGCTACGTGACCGGCGTAACCACAGGACAAGCAGATGAGCTGGTTGTCGGATGTGTGCCATTCGTTCTTCGGGGTAGGTCTCACCCATGTCACAAGAGCCGAAGGACGGAACGGTGGCTGGAAATGTTACATGACGGGCTGAAGCTGAGGCTGAGGGTTTGCATCGGCATACGTAGCGGGGATACCCACTGCAAATAACGGAGGTTGAAAGGCAGCTTTGGCGTAAGTCAGAGGGGCGTGTGCTGGAACGACTTGAGGCGGCCTGGCGACCACTTGGGCGTTACTCAGGAGCGTGGGAGCCGGAGGTTGTTGGGGATGGTACGCAGTCATGACCTCCGCTATTTCCTACTCAATCACTCGACGGATGGGAGGGAGAAGGATAGTGGCCATTTGTTTAACAGCCGCTGGGTGGGAAAAGGGCAAGAAAAAGAACTGGCGCGATTTCCTCACGGATGAAGGACTTGAGATCTGCCATCAACGCCACTTGGTCAAAACTGGCCTCCAAGTCAGCAAGCCTTGCAGCTCGTGGTGGAGAGCGATGGGTCATCGAACGCTGCCGGCGGAGCTCCTCGTAGCTCTGTCATGGTGTGATGACCTCAGCCATTGTGCCAAGGTTTTTGGCAAGCTGCATCGTGAAGGCATCATTGTCAACGTCTTTCGTGGTCTTTCGGATCTTGTCAGACTCGAACATGGTGTGATTGGATTTGTTGCATATATCTACACCTTCAATATAGCTGGTGAATGACTCACCAGCCTGCTGGGCGTGTTCACATAAGCGCTGCTCGACTTGCAGCTTACGAACGGCAGGGCGGCTGAAAACGTTGATTACAGTGGTCTTAAAATCGGACCAGGTTGCGAAATCAGACGTGTGGTTATTGTACCACAAGCTGACTGCGCCGCAAGGTAGAACACCAAGTTTGTCAACTTGCCGTCCTCGTTCCATTTGCAATCGTTTCATAAATTCTTTTTTCCTCGGACTAATAATAAGTGGTACGAGTTACCTTTTGAAGCGTTCTCTAATAATAATTACCTGCATGTTGATAACTATGTATCTTCTTCTTTTCAATAGTATAACACAACGTTTCGACCGTCTCGCACTGCGCTTGATTTACATTCTGTACTTGCGATTTAGATTGTCTTGCTGTCATCTTTATTTATGTATTTTTGTTCTATGTTCAACTGTTTTACTATAGTTTTATTGCTTGAAATGTTCTCGTAAATACAGTTAAACTGTACAATATCTCTTCATGATGGCTCCCTATTTAGTCTTTTGAACGCAGTGTACTGTAAATAAAAAAAGTAAAATTATACTGCTCTCTCTCATAACATAACTTCCCTGTATTGAACTTGTCCTTTTCTTCATCACAATTTGATTTTCGCAAAACTTACCTATGCGAAACACAACTAACGTCATTTTTGAACAAGTTACATATCATTCTAGACAACTTTTTGTTTGCCGACGGCATTTTCTTCGTTTTTCAAAAGCATTCGACAAAGTTCGCGATAATGTTCCTCTATACAAGTTTACTTTACTCACCATTGACTCTAAATTTCTGACCTTGATTGAATGTTTTTTTAACCGCTCTCAATTTGCTTCAGCAAATAACGCTAGCTTAGGACTTAGCTCCGTAGAATCTGGTGTTCCACATGGTCTTATGCTTGGTCCCCCTTTTTTTCTATTTTACAAAAACAGTTGACCTTCTTGCGTTTCCTCAAATATTCATCATTTTGCAGATAATTGCGTAATCTTCAGGAAAAAAACTTGTGACAATCATATAACTCTTCTTCAATCTCACCTGAACGTGGTCTTTTTATGGATGGAGTAAGGAGTAGAAATGGAATTATATTTAACAAAACGCAAATTTATGCGAGTAACCCGATCGAAACTATTCTACCTTCTCACAGACTCAATTGTCTGTGACCATTACAGCCAGTTTCATCGTAAAAATATTTTGGTGTGCATATAAAGTCGAACCTAACCTGTAATAATCATACCGCACACATTATTAATAAAGCAAAAACATGCTTGGTTGCATTCGTCGAAATATTATAAGATCACCTCCTTCCTTGAAGCTTCTCTTATGCAGAACACTGATTAGATCTAAACTTGAATACGCTACATCAGTATGGGACCAATTTCATGAAAGTCTTTCACACGCACTAGAAATAATTAGAACAATTATATTTATTTTTTTTTGCTCTGAGTACAATCTCACTGCCAGCATAACAGCTTTGAGCAATGATCTTTACTTACCAACTCTCACTTCTAGATGTAAAACACATCGTCTAGACTTTTTTATAAGCTTTGCTATCATCCACACTTCCATAATGAACTACTCAGTGCTTCGCAGTAGGTTTCCTATAGACTACACCATAAAATGAGAATCTACCCTGTAGAGCTCACGCATTTTCGCATTTATTTACGCCACGTACATCAAAAGAATTAAATCGCCTTCCCGCACTAACGGTAGAAATTAATTACTCTAATTGAGTGAAGCGTGCTTTACATCAGTGTTTTTTTTTCAAACTTAGTCTACCGTTGTATATGCTACGTGTCATTTTACATGACGTAAGGCAATATTTCACTCTTCAATGCTCTATTGCGTTACTATTATTTCTTTTCTTTGTTGTCATCAGCCCATTGACATTGTATAATATTTTTGGGTTACTTATTCTGTTATTATTACTAATAATCTTCACGCACTGCGCAACTTTGTTCTATTATTGTATAACTGCAACGCTTACTTTGTAAATATAACCACTTCCCTCTGTAATGTCCATTAACCCTGAGGGTAAATAATTAAACAAATAAATACCATATGGGAGGCACGATAGTGAGAGGCTTCGGAAGTTGCCACCCTCTGGCATCCATGGACACACAACGCACAGCACACGAGCCGCTATCATTTCACCTCGACAGCCGTGATCGAACGCGCGCCCTTCGGGGTTAGCATCAGAGTGCCCTAGCCACTGCTCCTTCATGGCTGACTAACAATAAAGTGGTGCACAACAACGTTTCTCGGGAGCCGCAGGAGTGCGTCTTGTTTCGCCAATTCTGACCAAGTGCACTACAAGAGAAGCTTGCAGAGTCAGACAGTTTTGCCTTTGATGGCGCAACCGTCGAGTTTCGGTAGCTCTAGTTAAATATCTATAGTAAATTAACACTGGCACACCATGTGGAAAACACCATAGTGTACACTTTTATGTCATCTTCTCTGTTAGATATCGTTACGGGGTTGAGTGTGTACGCAAAGCTGTATTTAAAGTGAAGAACAAATGCAAAAATCAAGGTGGCTGACCAACATACCTATGTGCCTGTCAGTTTTTCCGGCTCTTTATCTTAGTTCACTTGACCCCTATACGTAACAATATGAAGTGACTAAATGAAAACATTTCAGGTGCTGACCGATATCGCATTACTGGGAGCTGCCTTGGTCCTGTTCAGCTTACAGGTATGAAAGTTCCCGTGCAGCTCTTTGAAGCCGAGATGAGTTTCCAATGCTTATAAAACTTTGGAGAAGAAAAAAGGGGGAAGGCCAACGTATTACGTTGCTATTTAGGCCGACCTCAATTTTCCTTTACCTGTTTGCCAGTAATATCAGAGCAACAGTGGCGCTAATCGAATAAACCTGTCGGGAAGACAAATGAGAGAGTCGTCAGGCTCCTCTCTCTTTTATACTCTTCACCGGTTCATTCTCTCAGCGATATGTGCCGAATACCCCAGGCTTAAACCATACTGCAATTCTTCATCCCGCGTTTATTTACACTACTACGATCCCCAAATGACAGTTACTGAGAACCACGGTGTACGAATCTACAGGTGTTCACACTTATTCCGCAACGCGTTGAAAAAGCGCAATCCCTGTGTGTTCAGATAATGTTCGGGCCTTTATCAGTAATCTAGCTGCTTCATCGGTGCCTTTTTAGATGGCGCTACAACGAGCGGGGTGAGCCGTTTAGGCTGCACGCTCGACAGAAACGCGCATGCTGCTGATCTTTTTTGTTAGCATGTGTGAGCACCCAGTTTTAAAGCCAGGTTTGTCTTTTGTTCGTGTGTGTTTAATGTTGTTCTATTGATCAAGGTGACACCAAGTTGTTAAAAAGTTCCCGAAGTGGTTAAAACGTGTTTTGCACTAAACTACCATTCTGGCTATTGCACTTTTGCGGAGCTTGTGCCTCTCTTCAAATTGCCACTTGAAAGTGATCGTTGGCACAAATATTTGAATTTTCATAGTAACATTTAGCCATGAAAAACCGCATTGTTTTAGTGTGATGGTAATGAAATACTTTCGTGGTTCAAATATTTATATAGTACGTGGAACAACTTCATTGCTGTTTTGCGCTTCATGTGGAATAATTGCGCATTTCAAATATTTCCTTATATTGCATTCACATAGAATAAGCGCAATTATGCTTCGACAAATTTCCGTGGAAATGAAAGCAGCGATACACATTAAATATATTTATGGTGCAATAATTATCCTCTTTTAATAGAGGAGTAATATTTATTACTGGAGTTTACGCGTCAAAATCATGAGTTTATTAGAATCGACGTCGTATTAAAGAGCTCCTGACTGATTTTGGCCATCCAGGGCTGTTTAACATGCATCTGCATCGAAGAACGTAGGAGTTACTTGCATTTTTCTCCACATAGAAATATTTAGATTTTCGAAAATATTTGCAACAACTTTAGCACACTGGCTAAAGTTGTTTTTTAATTCTTTTTTTGCATCCAAGAATGATGTGATCAGACAAACATATAGGTGCATACGAGTGTAATTTAGCGTTGAGTACTTCTTGATCGATTCATGTTGACGAAGTTCACAGCCAGCTCAAGGCCCTTTCATGGTAATGAATCCTTAAACATGGTGAAGCTTTATCTTTTAATCAGAAGTGACAAATTTTTGGTGCTTTAGGTATTAGTCACGTCCCAAGGAACAATAGTTTTAGACAGGCAGAGGAATTTCGATGCGCTAGCGCCACTTCGTTGGGTACGTTGGTCAGGGTGCCGTCTTACGGCTAACATCACAGTGCGCCCGCGAGATCGAACATTATCTGGCCGCTCAGGTGCTCTCATTGTCAACACCTGATTACTTTAACACCATGCTGAGAACTTAGAGCGTTTTTTTTAAGAAAGATAATTTAACTTTTGATTTTTGCAGGTTTACTTCATACTGGTCGTCTTCTCGCATTACCAGAACATGAAGAAGTCGTCTCGACAATTATCTGTTGTTATAAAAATGTGAGTGGTTGAACAAATATGTGGTCTGGGGAATGAATAAATGAATATATATATAATCTGGCTACATGTGTCTCTTATCATTACATCAAGGAACCTCAAAATGACTTTCCTTAATTCGACGGTACATGAACTTTAGGCAGTTATGGTTTTTTGCAGACGTCCATCTAAAGAAGCGTCGGCGACACCCAGCTCAAAAAAGAAAGCAATTGGAACCATTCGGATATGTGTCAAAATGGTGATACTGATTTCCGATTCACCCAATGATATTCCCTAGAGGGCCATTTGAAATGTTCAATTGGTTTAAGATGATGCGCTTACTTCCAATTGGGCCAGTTGTATTCATTAACTGAACGATTTGAAACAACTATAGTACCAAGTGATATCATTTGAACATATTGTGAGCGCGACAAGCGAATGACTCTTTATTCTCTTTGTAATCATCATCACCTGTACATCTTCTTCATCTAAGAATATCATCACCGGCGTGATTGAGCTCGAGCCTGGCCGAATAAACCGGTTCCTCACAAGTGGTGGAGGTGCTGGGTATGATTTCGATGTCACCTACAGATCTGGGAAGAAGCATCAAGATGCTGATGCTCTATCGCGCTGTCCTTTGCCCAGCGGAAGAAATTCACCATCGATACTCCAAAACAACAGCACCTCTCCAATCGGAGCGCTAAGTTCATCACCTGCCACCCTATCCGTCCTTGTTTCACATTAACGTGTCGACCCATACTGCCGCACCATTGTTGACCGCTTGACCGGCTCTACTACTCCTCCAAACGCCAGACTCCGTCGACAACTTAAACAATTTAAGCTTGTCGGTGATGCTTTATGTCGCTATGTTTACCACATCGATGGCAACAAGTGGGTACCCGTCATCCCACGTTCTCTGCAACATGAAGTTCTGGAAGCCTTTCATGATGATCCAACCGCTGCTCATCTAGGCTACCACAAAACTTACGACAAATCATCGTTGCCGAGGAACAGAGATAGTGCACGTATCTCGTTTAAAGCCTTATGTGCGACGCATTTCATAATACTGTCAAGCGACCAGGCGGCCGCTTTCACCACGCGGGGGAATTAGTGTGAGCGCGACAAGCGAATGGCTCTTTATTCTCTTTGTAATCATAATCACCTGTACATCTTCTTCATCTAAGAATATCATCACCGGCGTGATTGAGCTCGAGCCTGGCCGAATAAACCGGTTCCTCACAATATTGGTAGCTCTCAGTTAAACACTCACTTGCAATTGGAAAATAGAATACCCATTTTGGCCATTCGGTTCAACTGGAACTTCCAAACGGAAACTTTCTTTTTCAGGTAGTGATTTGCAATTGGATAGCTTGGTAGGATTGGTAGAAATTTGAGTGATTAAGCGCTCTTACTTCGTGTACTTTCGCATTATAAAAGCGTTTATTTACATATGCAATTTTTATGCAGTGCACAAATTTGGTGAATAAATTTTAGTGGTGTGAGAAAGGATGCATATTTTGCACCCGTTGTACAAGGTTTCTCGTATGAATGGAATGCAAAAATATCCCTGAAAAACAGCGGGCATTTATTCGACGTTTGCTGCATACCTGTTCACGAATGGCACAAAATCTATTGGCCGCGCTTAGCTGTTGCGTGTCTACCTATTATTTAAAGCATAGCGGTCAATCACTTTCCTGCGCGAAGGGCACTTTTTTTTATCAAGACTCTGAAATTTTTAAAGGAAGAAGACGGAAAAAAAGGGACAATATTGCAGTTCTTGGAGCACAAGAAATAATAACTGGAATAAACAGTATTGGCGACTGTGTTGGCACTGTAATTCTTGGTGTCGTTACAAAATTGGCGCAGCCGTTGACAGGACCCTGTACTACGCCCCTGAGCAGCCAGAACTTCCACAGGACAATGGGTGTCTACATCGCGGCAAGGCGTGTGGATGTTACTAGAAAGGGAGCGTTGTACGGTGTTTCTATGGTGAAAGTACGACCTGTTCGTGCGAGCTTTAGGTCTACGCTGACACCTCGCCGAAAATGAGTGATCACCAACCGGAAGCGGCAACCATCATTACTCCACAGCTACGTAATGAAGACAGGCCACAGGAAGCTAGGCTTGCGAATGCGGATATGGCTTTCACTGACACGAACAGTGTTTTAACAAGTAATGATATTTTTGAAGGTCTAACCAAGCTTCAGCAAGAAAATAGCAAGTGGCGACCACATCTGTTGGCGCTTATAACGCGAACATACACTGACAGATATCCAAAAACGCCAAGAGAAAGAATTATGCCAGAAGCCTTCAAAATATCATCATCAATGAGCGCAGAGGCCTAGCTTGACTTTCATGAATATACGTGTGATTAAAATTCTTGGCAACATGATGATGGTAAAGTAATGGACATATTGTTTTGCTTGGGAGCTCGACATCGCGAAGATGTGGCACGAAATACGAGCAACAGTGAAGCATGGACTACTTGGGCGCATTGGAGGCAGAACTTTTTGTCAACATTTTTCGAAAACAGGTTTCAGAGTTGGGACCATGAATTAGCCTGGAAGTACTTTTCTGGTTGGGTTGTGACCTACTTTTATGAGAAATGGAGGCTACTGCATGCCACAAATCCTGCTTTCTCTGACTCATCACTCCTGTGTCTAATACTATTGGGACTTCCTAAATACATTCAGCAGCATTTTCATCTTGGAAGGCCTCAAATACCGAGAAGCTACTACAGATCATGCAGCTCGACAGCCAAATTCTGCGGCGACATCACTTAGCACGCCTGAAACTCCTCCAGCTTCCTGAGAGGTGAGACACGCTTAGCGAATCGGATTCATCTGTGAAATAAAACACGAGGCAGAAAAAAAGCATCGAATAATCAAAAAGAACGTCAGACGATATCTTGTCTCCAATACAAGAAAGATTGTTTTTCAATGACCACACTAAGCTGGTGTACTTGTCTACGTAAGTTAAGGGAAAGGACTTGAAGGCTCTCGTTTAGAGCGGAGCATCTATTACTGTAGTCAACAAGACCGTGATTGTAGAGTTGAATGTAAGAAAGAATTATCCTGTCATCGCACATGGGTATGATGTGAGGGCCCCGCCTCCACTCAGTGGGGTCAGTTAGCCAAAATTCGCCGTGCCCGAGCCAGCAACGCAGGGAACGAGAACCGGCTTCAATGCATGATACAAAATATTCAAAAACAGCTTTCCGACTCAGCTCAACACGACGCTGACGCACACAGGAATACAAAAAACCCAGAAGAAACAATCCCCACGGATTGGCGCGGCAGGGAAGCCAGCACTAAACACAACAGCAAGAAATAAAACTCGCACGCAACTCGCCGTAGACTACGGGCCATCGGCTCGCCTTACAGCTGACGCCCCCAAAACCTGCGAGGCCTCGCCTCTAGCACGCACTGCGGAAACACCCTTCGTGCCTAGCGCAACCGACGCCCCATCCCATCCCTCGTCTGCCCCCGAAAAGCCACTGGGCTTGTCTCGCATTCCTCTTAACTCCCCCGCCTTTCCGCCACCTGTTGCCTTTTGGATTCTGACGCTCATCCCGCGCACGTTCAATGCGACTGTCTTCTCCTCGCCCTGCTTCCACCGTGCGTGCTAAAGATAAGGGTCCATCGGTTCGACACTCCCCCGACACAAGAGTGGACACTCCCCTTAGTGTCATAGTCGACCGACTAGTGAAAAAATATTGAACGCTATAAAAAATACAAGATAGTAAACTAAGAAGCAGTGCCTGATTAGTGTACACAGTTCTGTTGGGCACCATAACACCTAATTATTAGCCGCATGTCCGGGTCAACACGGTTTGCCAGGCATCACAACACATCACTCGTCGCATGTCTTTGTTATGAGTTGCACCAAACGGAGCTTTCGCACACATCACATCACTTATCGTGGCCTGTCTTTGTCCCGCTGGTTGCACAGAACGGAAAGCGCACGTTGCGTGTGGCGGTGTTTACAGGCGACTGGGCCGGCGTTCCATGACTCATCAGCCTTGTGTTTTGTCACTGGCTAGGCAGGATGCACTAAAGACGCTGCGGGTGATATGAAAAAAGCAACATTACCACAGTTGGACAAGAACAGCAACAAAAACAAATTGGCCCCGTATCTGCATATTAATCTACAAATGTCCTCGAAAGACGGTAGTCTTGCGTGTGTAGAAAGTGAACAAAACATTTCTTTCATCGTTCTGCACAAGAACAATGGTGAATGGTATTCTGGGGGCACTGCGTTAAAGTGCCTCGAGCGTGCAGCAGAGGCGGCGAACGAGCGCATCAAATCACGTCACACGTGAGACATGAGCGCCATCTGGCAGTTATCTTGGAAAACAAAGTGGGTGGCTCTGAGATGGGTGTGTGCGCCCGTCTGGAAGGTGATAAGGCGTAGAACGCAAGGCGGCGGGCAGATGCCACCACCATCTCGTCTTAGCAAAACGTTGGAAACACTCGCCTTTTCGTGCAAGCGTTCCATGGTGAGCGCAACGTGATAAGCGCTACAGTCCTTATAGTGACTTATGTGTGCCTTTTCTAATAAAAGACGCGCATGCAGAATATATACGTGTTGGTATGGTGCCCTAGACATGCGCAATATTGCTTTTGAATGGACAATTGGAGAAGTATGAACGCTAAATATGGAGCAACATTGGTGGGCGCTGCGGATGGGGTCGGCCGTTTTGAGTACCAGGTGCCGTTATGAGTGGACAAACAGACGAATGTACAGACAGGCAGACCAAAATTTTCGCGTCGAAGGTCCCAAAGAAACACTATCGTCTTTCAAAATGCACCGCATCCTGCTTGGTGCACAACTCACGCCGGGGAGCAATGTCGACGACAGTGGGGTAATGAGTTTGCGCGTCTGGTGGACGCTCGTAGTAAGCTCTGGGCTGACACACACTTACAGGGCCTGTTATTCAACCCCGGTGTTTGTTTTTGAGAATGTAAACTAACCTAATAATATGCTTTGCAATCACGTAGGAACCATTCCATCGTGGTGCGAAGGAGGCAGCAAACCCTTTTGCTGCGTCACTGAGTGGATGCGGGTTCCGGAGCATCTC